GGGAAGAAGGGGGTTAAGTTCCCTGAGTTTGCCGTGGCGACTCAAATAAGTTATATTGCAACAAACTGGATCCTGCTGCGGGACTTGCACGCCAACCGGAAGCGGGAAGCGGGAAGCAGGGGAGGGGAAAGATAGAAAAAAAAGCACATACACACAAACGATAATAATAATAATATAGGAGCTTCATGCGGCAATGCTGGCATCACACACTCGTCGTTGTTTATCGTGGCGTTTTCTCGCAGTTTTTCCCGCGTGTAACGCGAGATGCAGTGGCACAAGCATCCACCACGGCAGTTGGGCTGGCAGTGGCACCTGCTGTGGTGGGAAGCAGGAATGTGTGCCGTTTATCACACCAGCACTCTTATGCATGATTCGTCTCCACAGCGATGCCACCGGGGATCGAAGTAAGCCGCTCACATTGCACGTACAGCTTCCGGATGGCACCACACGCGACGTGAAGGCGTACGAGGGGCAAACACTGCTCGACGTCGCCATGGAAGAAAGGCTGCCCATTGAAGGTGCATGTGGAGGGTCATGTGCCTGCTCCACATGTCATGTGTATTTGGAGAATGAAGCCGCAATGGAGCTCTTTGACGAGCCAACGGATGAGGAAAACGACATGCTTGACATGGCCTTTTTTCCGCAGGTCACCTCGCGCCTGGGGTGCCAGCTGAGGTTGGTGCAGAAGAAACACGACGGGCTTAAAATAACGCTTCCACATGCCACGCGCAACATGTACGTGGACGGCCACACCGTAACGCCACATAACTGAAGTGACGTGAATACACACGAAGGCAAAAAGAATGAAGAAAAAAAAAAGAACTTCCGGGGCATCCATGAAAGCGCATTTGTTTTCTTCTGTCGCAGTAACTTGGACGAGTAACGAGATACTCCAAATGGCGAAGGCGGTGACACAGTGATTGTGGGGTCTGGGTTTGTTCCTTCTTGTTGCGCTTCCCTCTTTTTGTCGCCTGTCCGTGCTGCTTATGCATTGTTGCTCCTCCATTTGTGTGTGTGTGTGTGTGTGTGTGGAGCGCTTCCTGCGCAGAGGCATGCGAAGGAGGCAGCGGCGGCGGCTGGGCATACCGCCGTGTCACTCACACATCTCATCTGGCTGGTTGGCATTTTCCCTCTTCTTTTCATTACACACACGCACACAACAATAACGTTAATAATGTTCCACCGTAGGAGGAGGAAAAGGGGGAAGCAGAGTCAGGTTGACTCACTCGCTCATTCATAGGCACATTCGAGCACTAAACACAGCGCGGTGTTGTATCGACAAGGGCTTATAAATCTACGAGGGAGACATAAAAAGAAAGCCTTTTTATCATCGGGCAACCAAACAAAAACAAAACAAAAAAAAATGTCTGGCCCCATGCGAGACGTTATTTTTACCCCGCTTCAAGAGGGGCGTGCGGTGGCCCGGCGCGATCGCGATTTCGTGCCAACGAGCATTATTATTGACAAAATGTGCCGCGTATACGTCACTCAGATCCCGTTAGAGCGCATTGAGCGAGATGGTGCCAACGCGTTGCGTGCGGAGTTTGAGGCATTCGGCCCTGTGGAGTCGTACAAGATGTTTACCGAGCGGTCAGGACGCTTCATTGGGAGTGTGTTGTGCACCTATCGCAACCCCGCAGACGCCAGTGCGGCGGTGCAGAACATGAACGGGCAACAAATTGAAAGTAGTGTTCTGCAGGTTTCTCTCTCCCGTGATCACAGCGTTGTGACGCTGCGCCAGGCCGGACCTAAAGGCCGTTACGGCGGCGGCTCTGAAGAGGTTGATGGGGGTGGCAAGTGGCAGCATGATCAGTACCAGGCCCTTCTGGAGGGAGGCAGCGTCGGCGGCGAGATGGTGGGCCGGTATGCATCCCACCACGGTGGTCGCGGCGGCGGGCGTGGGAGGCGTGGTGGCCGCAGCGGTCTTTACGGCATAGATGAGGCCTTTGAGCGCTACATTGCGTCCCGCGACAAGGAGGCCGTGGAGCACCGTCACAAAGTGAGCCTCAGCGGTGGTGAGGATGCCTCCAAACACAAAGAAACGGGCACTAGTGAGGGGAGTGGTGTCACCGGCGACGACAACGTTGATAACGGCGGGGCGGCACCGTCCTCAGTTGGCGGAAGTCATGAGGATGAGCAGGCGGAGCAGTAGAGCTGATAATCTCTCTTGCGTGGATTTTTTTTAATTTATGCCCTCCTTACTGGCTCCTTATCCGCGGGTGCGGGGGCCTGTGTATGCACGCTGCTGTTTGCTGTTCTGCTCCTCAAACAGAACAGGGAGTGATGCTGAGACGGAAAGAGTGAATTTTTAAAGAGAAATCAAACAACGACGTGAAAGGCGGGAAACGAGGGTGTGTTTATGCGTGTAGTGCCTACGAGGAGGAGGAAGGGAGGGAATCAACTGTGCGCACGTGTCCTTCCTTCTCGTTATTGTTTTGTTTCTTGTACTTCGCGTTGGGTGAAGGAGGTGGGGCGGGTGGGAAGCTGTACGACGCACTCCTCCTTTTCCGCCACTTTGCCCTTTTGCTTATTACTCCCTGCCAGGAACCCTTCACTCCACTTCCCCCACCACACCCCACCCTCAAAGTGTGGTGCGAAAGACACTGCAGAGCCGGGTGGGGACAGTCACGCGTGTGTGAAGGGACGCGCAGCCACACGCGTTAGTGGGAAGGAAGGTGAGAATGTTGTGCCGGCGGCAGGGTTGTCGCTTAGGGGTCACTTGTGGCGGCCTCACTGCGGCGGCAACACAAAAAGCCGCAGGTGGGGGCGGGCAGCAACGCTTCAAGGCAACAAGAACAACGCCCGAGAGGCCCGCGGCGGGCCCAGCGCTACTGCGTCCAGATCGCGTAGAGGCGGAGCGGCCTTTTCAGCAACGACTTGCAGTGCCGCAAGACGAGTTGTTGCCTGCACCGTCGTTCCCCACCTCGTGCCAAGCCAGCATGAAAACAGAAATGTCACGACAGCCTTCTTGCACCACCGCCGTGCACGCAAGAGATGACGTGCGATTTCATCGACGCCTTGGCGGCCGCTTCACCAGTCTGTGTGACCAGGAGAAGTTTTACGGCACTGCGGAGGTGGCGTTCCACACCATTTATCAAGACATTCAGCTGCGGCTGCATTGGGCACGGGAGGCCCTGCGCCTCCTACAAGAGGCTCTGCCGCAGGCGTCGTACGGGCCAACGCCCGTTCCTCGACGTCTTGTGGTGCTTGTGTTGTATTCGCACACACAGCACAACGCTGCGGTAGGGCTATATATGCGGCGTATCAGTTCGCAGGTAAGAGCAATGCTTGCCGAGAACCACGAAGAGGTGCTGGGCGTCTTGACCGCTGTCGTGGGGGTGAAGTGGCGGAGCCTCACGACGGCTGAAGCGAATGGCATGGGCCAAAAAAATAATAGTGATGCCGCGGCGCTCCATGACGACTTTCTCTGGTACCCCAACGCTGGCCTGTACACCTTCAATGCCATGATACAGTGCCTCTGCCGGGTTGGGCTTGACGCAGACACACAGGGCAAGGCGCGTGCCTCCCTTCAGCTACATCGAAAGATTTTAACTATATCTGAGGGTTGGTTTCATGTGCGCACGGCTGCAGAACTGCACCAGCCACCGCGAGCGCCATATGGGGCAGCTGTCGACACGGTGGATGTGGAGCCACTGCCATTTGTGTTGGGCAGCGCTCACACCGCGGAGGAACTGCATCAGTTCGCCCGCTACACAGCCTGCCGGGCTTTAGCTCTGTGAGAATGAGGGTGAAATCGTGATGCACGCGCCGCCTCACGAGCACTCACACTTTCCCGCCTGCCTTTGCGTCGCTCTATTTGTGAAGGCCTTTTTCACTGCCTGACTTGTTTTGCTGCCTTGCGGATTTCGTCCCGGTGCATGTTCACTGCCTGCAGACGCCTTCATCGCTTCCTTACTTTGACATCTGTGCCGGAAGGAACGCACAGGAGAGCTGCACACGTAGCAAGCAGCCACAGGAAGGTTGTGTAGAGGCAAACACAAAAGACGAAGTGAAACAAGGAGAGAGGAGAGAGAGAGAGAGAGAGAGCGCAGGCTGCTGCTCCCCACTCACCCGAATACGCTCCGGCCGACACACACACACACACACATAGAGTGTGTCTCCGCAAGCAGGGTGAGAATTTAAGACGCAGAGCGGGACCCACCGCGACTTTTGGGTGCCTGCGTGGCGCCGACACTTTCTGCGTCGTCCAGGCGGAATAAAAAGCCGCGACTGCGAGAGAACAAGAAGTTGAGCGAAATAATCTTCAAACCAGCAAAAGGTAACGGGAAGGGCTTCCCATTTGTTTTATGCGATCAACCCGGCCAGAATGCAAGCACCGAAGGGTCCAGGCGGAGTGGCAGCGTGCGCCAGCCGCGCGAGCACGTCACGGTGCCGGGAAGGGTCATGATTCCCCCCGCCTTCGCGGCATCTCCTTCCCTCCCTTTCAACCGTCAAAATTGGAGCCAAGCGTAACGGTTACTGGTCTGGCCTCACAGAAGCTGCGACGCACCATGTGGCAACTCACCGGAGGGCAGACAGGGACAGACGAAGAGCTGAGGGGGCTGTCGACCACGGACCTAAGCTCCGCCTTGGACATGTTTTTAGACACCTGCACAATAAAAACAGATGGTGGCGCTTTGAGTGTTGCACGTGCGCGGGGGAGTGGCTCCCCGGTCATGTTTCCTGAACGTGCCACCACCCATACGGGGGATCCAATGAGTCGCCACGGTGAGCTCGTAGTGGGTGAGACACCGTGGTATTATCCACCGCTGAAGGCCGCATTGCTGCGGCAGCAGTGCTGCTACCCGGACGACAACGTCATCTTTTGTCGCCCCACCTTGAAGCAGTTCTCCACCCTCTCCAACTGCAGCGACGCCACCATCTTGCATTCGTTGCGTACGTTCGACGACGAAGAGAATGCAGGGAAAGACGCTAACGCAGGCGCCGCCGCACATGCAAAGAAGAAGCTGCCAACTTCTCGTGTAGAACTCAATAAGAAGAAAAATGGGAGCTTTCCTAAAAATAGCCGTGGCTCTGGTATCTCATTAAACGCCAATGCACACACCGCGATAGCGCTTGATGACGCGGAGCAGCTGCGTCGTCGTCGGATGCGGGAACGCCGCTTTTTGAACTACATCCATCAGTGGTGTGACAAGGTGATGCTTCTCTCGGGGAGTGTGAAGGCTGCCCATGACCCCGTGGGGCAGCATGAACAGTGCATGATGGTGATCCGCAAGGAGGAAGAGGTCCTGCTGTTGGAGATGCAGCTTGAGCGGCATCAGGCGATGCAAGAACGTGAGTGTTGCCGACAGAGACGTCAAAGAGAGGCACGAGAGAATGGTAGTTTGCGTTCCACGCTGAAAGACATCAGTCGGCCGAATAATTGGCGACGGCTCCTGAGTACATGGAGCGTGGTAACGGAAGAAGCCCACGATGGCCACGATGAGGAGACAGAGACTGTGAATGGGAAGGTGGAGGCGAGGCGTCTTATCGCATCGCCGCGACTGCTCACGATGCGGGAAACCGACGCAGTTCCCATGCCCGGTGGAGCACCGGCGTGCCGGAGTCACAGTCACGATGCCTGCCGCAGCCCTTTGGAAGATCTGCGGCGTTTGTTGGACGTCATTGCGAGGCACTCAGTCGGCACGTTGGCGCAGGCCATATCGAGCCCTCTTTCCCCGACTAAGTCGTCGTCGCACACCCCGATCCCCTCTCGCGAGGGGATGCTCTTTCCGCCACAAGGCTCCGTCTACACGCAGATCAACTGGGTGGAGCGCATCATTCATGCAGACGACTTACCTGGAATAAGGCAACTGACGCAGCGGTTAGGCGAATGTGTGGGTGCGGCGAAGACGCCTGCGTGTGCATCATTTCCAACGTCCGAGGTGGCCTCAGCGAGTGGTGTCGGGTGTCTCGGGAATGCCACGGCACCCTCGCACGCCCCATTTCTGCTCCCATTGCAGCTAGTTTATAACGTTCACGGCGCACTAGAGCGGGTTGTTCTGGCGGATGCTGTTTCACTCATTCCACCACGGTGCTCTACCCGGCGACGTGGAGGCAATCCCTCTCCCACCTGTTACGGAAAAAGCATCCCCAGTTGTCTGTAGAAATGGAAGCTTTGACAGTGCAACGGAGGATGGGGACGCAGAGGTGTTTGACCTGCGTGAACGTCTTTTGTGCGCCGGCGATTTTGTTGGCGAACCCCCGCGTCCCTACGAGTCATTTGTCGGCTACGTCCTTGATGCCGCTGCCATTGTGCGGCAGAGTGAATGGCGCTCGTTGACGATGAAACGGTTAGCAAACAACGAAAACGGCGAGGTGCAGCGACGTATCCTTGCCAAGGTGATGGTGGCGTTGCCGATTCACACCGTCATGTCGAGGCAGAATGATGCGGGTGACGCGAAGAAGCCCGACATACCTCCCTCCGGTGGTCCGACGGATGACATGTATTTATACACGGCAATGAATGAGGACGCGGTGGATGTCAATCCCTTTCTGCGTACAGTGCGGTCCTTGTCGCTGGCGCCACCGACGACGGTGAGAGTCGCGGAGCCATTCCTGGTGGCTCCACTGCAGCGCATCTACTACGCGGTCGACACGCGACAGATGTATTTTATTGCTGCCACAGCCTTGAAGGAGAGCAATGAGAAGCTATTGCCTGCGCTACAGCGTTTACGGGAGCAGTACCGAGCCTTGAAGCAAGTGCTGATGAACTCGGCGAGCCCGCACTGTGATTCCGCACACACCCGCCCTCTCGTGTATTCCTCCGGGCAAAGCACGCGTGCCACGGCGCAGGTGCTGGATGCGCTCAAACTCTTGCAGCTGGAAGCGAAATACAGCGACCTCCTTGCCACTCTGCACCGAAATGAGTGTGCCATTATACACTACAACTTGCATGTGGAGCCCTACGGCGAGTTTTTGAAGAAAAGCAAGGCGATATGGGGACCATTGTATCTCCGCACCCTGCGACTGGCCTACGCCTTCTGCGTCCTAGTCTTGGAGCTGGGTGAGTTGCCGATTCCGCCGAGGTATCACCCCTTTATTGGCCCTGTGCTGCAGCTTGTGGGCTGCCACGGCGGGCAAAAGGAACTGCGTTCTCGCATTGAGGAATACCTCCTCGAGCTTGAAGAGCGGGCAAAGCGGGTGCTCATGCCGCTGCTACTGCGGAAAGTGTCGGCTGAACGCATGGGGGAGCTCGACACTGCAGCGGAAGCGGTAGCAAGCGGCCGGTGCCTTGCCACCCAAATCATGACGTCCCTCGCCGTGCCTGAGGACGTTCTGGCAACGCGGCCCAACCCACTGAAGCTTCCGATGGTGTCGTTCACAGATGTGCCTTCGATTGCCGGTTGATGCAGACTCCTCTTTTGTTTATTCCCTTACAATATATATATATATTCCCCTTTTTACTCATTTTCTTGTTGTGAGGGTGGTTATAGAGCGAAGCCCGAACTGTTTATTTGAGCTTCCCTGGCTCATTTTCTGATGCTTGTTCGGTGCACACTGTATTCGCTCTTTGTAATGATGCTTGCTGCAGAAGCGGCACTGCCCAGTCGCACGCGCTGACGAGGGGCGGGTGAAGAGACGGATTGACTGACTGGGTAAGAGCTGACTCTCTCTCTCTCGGCTCCTGTAAAGGCGCTCAGAACAACGCAAAGACAAGGTTGGTGTGTATTTGAAGGGTGGCGGACGCTGGATGTACCACGCATGCATCAGTTGCAGCCCTAGTTGCCTACCGCTGGTATTTTTGGCCTGAATCCGTGGTCTCCCCGTTTCCCTCCTTTTTTTTTTTACTGCTTTCCTTTGATCATTCATTCAGCGGATGTGTCTGTTTTATGCTCTTTTCTCTGTTTGTTGTGAACCCAAGTGAGGGAGTTGCGTGCATCCGTATTCGGTGTTGGGTCGAGCTGAGCTACAGCGACACCGTCTCCTCCGCTACCTCTCCCGTGGCTTTGTTGCTATTCGTCTGTGAAGCTGAGAGCAGGAGGGGGGAAAAGGGGGCAGGGAGGCGTCGGTGTGGCTCATGCGCGCCTCTGCTGTTTGTCGCGCGTTTCCCACGAACTCGGCGTCGCTTCACAGCGACCTTGTGCGCTTCATCCACCCCCTTGCACGCCGCCTGCGTGAGAAAGGCGGTTGTTTACGTGCCATGGCGGGGAGCCGTGAACAGAGCCCTGCCGTGCACCTCAACGGGTGCACCGGCCGGACCCCCGGCGTTCGAATGCCCATCACATACTTCTCAGATCACATGAACGCCTTGCTTAACCGGCCACTGGAATCCGCCACAGGCGTTGATGCAACGGTGCCGCTTTACCGTTGCCCCATCTGCTGCTCCGCGGGCGCAGCCACAGACGAGGCAGAAGATAGTGGGTTTCAAATGCGGTGGATGACGCCACAGGAAGTGACGCGGCACATGAGTTGGTTGCACGCCTCCACAGGAGCTGCGCAGTCCAGTTTTGCAGCTTTTAATGCGCTAGAAATGCAGCGTCTGTTTAAGGCATTGCCGTCTTCTGCAGATGACCTGAGTGATGAGGAGGGGAGTCTCTCGCTACCACGCGTGGTAGTTCTTCTTGATGTGGCGAACATTGAGCTTGGCACGGAAGACGTGCTGGTCGAACTGCTAAAGAACTGGGATTGCCTTAATTTTTTTAGTCGTGTGGCCTGCGCATTTGTGTGTGTGCATGAGGTGTTTATCCCCCACACCTCGCGCCCTGGCCACATCTTCTTTCATCTTTCACGGATGCACCCACACTCAGACCTTTACACTGTCTATGCCGCGACGCGAAAGGAGTCGGGGGACCTCGTCTCGGCCTCACTGATGGGTGAGTTGCTGCTGCGCAATGTGCGGGGCTGCGGTCCGGCAGTGGTGCTGCTCACAAGGGACCTCTTACAGAAGTCGTGCGTGGCAGAGATGTTTAGCGGGATTGCAGGCAAATGTGGGCGTGTGTATTTGCCACGCTTTACAGCCACCAGCATTCTTCAGAATCTGCGGGAGGCGAATAATGCAGGCATGGGATGAGAGGGAAAAAAAAAAACGTTGCTGCAACCGTCTTCCCCAACGCCGTTTTGGACCACATGGAGGAGGCGGGATGGAGATGCAGTTTATTTTACAGTTTGTGTGCGTGTGTGTCGTTGTTGCTGCTGCTGCTGTAGAAAAAAAAAAAAGCATGATAATAATAGTAAATGCATATTCCTGTGCCTCCTCTTTATCCATTCATCTATCTACGTCCCGTGTTTCTGTAGTGTGCCGCAGTTGAGTAAAGGAAAAAAAAGGGCCCCATGCTTCGCCGCAGCAGTGGAAGTCTATTCCGCCGTACGCCCATCCGCCGCAGCGGCGGTGAGCTGTTCGTCCGCCCCACACTCGATCAGATCCCGCCTGCGGAGGAGTGCAAGGGGTTCTTCGGTCGCTTGAATGGCTCGCGGAAGTTTCTGCGCTTTGTGGACCTGAAATGGATGATGAACCGCGCCGTGGCGATGCGGCGGGAGTACCTCATCACCACCCCTACGCTCTACGCGTTTCTGTGGATGTTCTCGTGGGGGGGAGCGTCGATGTACTTCTGGGGCGACCGCGCCCCGCCCCGCCGCATGGACTGGAACACGGAGGAGACGGGACATCTCCCACACAACTTCGAGCCAACCGTCCTGAGGAAATCCTTTTAGGCTCAACCGCAATATAAATATATTTATATTAGGTGCGTATGTGGGACGTCATCGCTGGTTGTGCGTCTGCGTGTGTGTGTCTGTGTCTGGTGGTGCAAGAGAAGTTAGGAACCATTTATATAGCGGATTGCTGTTGTTGTTTTCTTTTGCAAATGATGCGCGCAGTGTGGCAGGAAATAGAACAGGAGAGCGTGAAAGAAAGAAGGAAAGAATGAGAGCGGGAAACTGTGAACAGCTGCGATGCCAGGAGTAACGAATGCCTGAGGGATAGTAAGAAAGAGCGTTGACGTAGCTGTCAGTAGGTGGTAATGCTGCAGGTTGTCTCGTACGTGAGTAGGAGCGGCTACGGTCTTTTAAAAAAAATATATATATGTTATTATTTCCTTTTTTATGTCTTCCGCTTTTTTGCATCTTCTCTTCACCCCTGTTCCCTGTTTGTATTTCTGTCTGAAGCGGGCCTCTGTTCGTGACGGTGCTGACGGCAGACCCCATGTGGAGATGACTCCGCGAGATGCTTTCCCGTGCCCCCGCCTCCAACGCGATCTTGTGCATCTTCGGCCCTTGTCTTTCCCCCTTTGTGTGTGTGTGTTTTTTTTTGTGGTTGCGCCTCATGCGGCACTTCTTGCACGTGACGGGGCAGACCAGCGAAGCAAAACAAAGCTACACAGCAATTAGGGGCGATTCGATCCCACATCGGTGGTGGGAATTCATTTAATGTATGCATACATCGAACAAAAATACTACAACCTCGAACAAAAAGGACGGTTACTGAGGCGGATAGAAGACCTGCTTAGTTTTTTTTTATTAGTTTTTTTTTTTGGTTTGTCTGTTACTGTGCGTGTGCGTGTGTGTTAGTTTTGCCTTCAAATGACGACTGTACCAGGGGGGAACGAGGCTGGAGCGCCATGCGGCGTTTGCTGACGCGCGTGCGGCAGCCAACCGCGTGAAACACGAGAGAAGCGACGCACCAGACGACGACGGCGACGAGAAAAGCAGCTCCATCCTGTTCCTCACAAGGAGTCTGGCGGCCGATCTGCGCAGCGAAAAGGACGAACTCATCAGCCGCGTGAGTGCGACGTTGATGCAGGACGTGCAGTTTCCCCCGCAAGATGCGTCGGGCAGTGAAGGGGCGCGTGCGGCATACAAAAACGCGGTGCGCATTGCGTCCCTTGTGCACGCGATTAGTCTCGAGGACGGCGAGTTCGTGCTGAAGCTCGCACTGTACGTGCGCCGCGACCTCAACATTCGCCACACCGCCGCTGTGTTGGTGGCCCTCAGTGCCTTTGAACCGAAATGTCAGCCCTTTTTGAAGTGCTACATGCGGCGCATCATTTGCCTTCCCTCGGACTGGCTGAGCATCGCCAACATTGCTGTGGAGCAGCCGCACCTGCGCCTGTCTCCATTACCGGCCGCCGCCATCACCACCAGCGACGACGCGACGTTCACGACGTCAGATGTCCGGGGGCTGAACGGAGGGAGCGAGAGGGGACCTTTGCCCAACGCGCTTCGGCGCGCCCTTGTGTCGACCTTCACCATGTTCGACAACCATTCTCTCGCCAAGTATAACACCGAACGAGCTACCAAACGAAAATGCAAGAAAATGCGAATGAAAGAATCCGTGCAAGATCCAAAATCCCCGCGCCCACTGACATTTAAGGACCATATCCGCCGGTTGCACATATCGCAGCCTGCATACGCCGTCTGCTGTCTTTTGGGGAAACGGTATCCCGACACAGAGGAGGAATTCAGAGAACGTGGCTTGGATGAGGGTGGCACGCGTGCATTTGATCCTAAGCTGCGTGGCAGGCGCATGCGCCTGCCAATTCCAATAACGTGGGAGAGGCAATTGTCCTTGCGTGGGAACAGAAGTGAGGTCTGGGACGAGCTGATAGCCAACAATAATGTGCCGTTCATGGCTATGCTACGAAATCTGCGCAATATGGCTTGGTGCAATTGCAGTGAAAGCACCCATGTCTCTGTGATACGACGATTGGTGTCCGAGGAGCAGGTGGTGGCGTCGCGCCAGTTTCCCTACCGGTTTCTCAGCGCTTATAATGCTCTTAAGATTTCATTGGGGGAGAAGTACCACAAGTATTTTCACGTGTTACAGACAAAGAAGAAAAGTCGGGGATACTTCACCGATAATGTTACGCGCAGCCGTCTGCTGGAACGATACAAAGATGCGTTGGACCAGGCTGTGAGGATTTCTGTGCGGGGCAATATCACACCTATTCGAGGAGCGTCGCTTGTGGTACTGTACTTGAGCCCGCATTTTGAGTTTGATGACTTCCGTGGATCGTCGCAGCTTGGAAAGGCTATCCTGTTGGCGGTTGCCTTTAGATACGCCTGCGAACACTGTGTCGTACTGCTAGCAGGGAAGGATAGGTGTGGTGTGATGGAATTGGACCTCCGGCGCGAGGATGGCATGCTACACAACGTAGAAAAGGTAAAGGATATTTGCAGAAAGATGTCCAGGTGTGGCACCTTCTCCACTGAAGACAAAACGCAGTTCACGCAGCTCAGCGGTTTTCCGTACGTGTACCTAGACGACATGCTCGAGCGTCGGGTAAATCTCCAGTCTCTTGTTGTTATGGGTTTCAGCCACAGCTGCTACTCTGGACAAAACGATGCCCCCTCGCTGGGTGATCTGCCCGTCTACCTTGAACGCATGCGTCGCACCTGCAATGAGGACCTTCTGTTCCTCTCTCTGCAGGCGTCGCTGGAGGAGGACGAGGCCGTGTCGTCGCGGTACCGCCACAAGAACGACGTCCTACTGACTGGGTTTTCAGATGCCATGCTGCGGTTTGTGGCGGAGCGTGTCGCGGGCGGACCCCGGCGCTACGTTGAGCGGGCCGACGAGGTGTATGACGTTCATCGCGTGGCGGTTCTCCCTGGCTGCATGCCGGGAGGGGAACTGCACGCACTGAGGCGCGTGCTCTCAATTGAGCAGGAGCGTCGGGTGTACAAGGGCGGGGCCACGACGGAAACGCTCTCGGAGGGAGGCCTGACTGATACCCAAAAGAGCTCGGCGATGGGACTCGCAAAGACGCCGTCACCGCCGTCACTGCCACTGCCACTGCTACAGCTACCGACAATGATGCCAGAGGCAGCGACGCACGATACAGCGTGTACGACGGCGACAACGGCAGAAACACCTATACGGTGGCCACAGCCAGAACGAGGATTCCTGTCAGCTTATCAGGAGTGCCGTTTTTTTTTGTCCTCCACCTTTATTGACATGAACAGTGAGAGGAACGCGTTGGTCCTTGACGTCTTCCCGCGGCTGCGTCGTTGGGCGGCGGAGGCTGGGCTGCGTGTCAACATTGTGGAGGTGGATCTGCGCTGGGGCATCACCGAGGAAGCGTCGAGCTCTAACTTGTCCCTCTCTGTTTGCCTCAATGAGGTCTCACGTTGCTCCCCGTTCTTTCTAGGTGTGCTCGGCTCCCGATACGGTTACTGCCCACCCACGTTGTACCACCGTGTCGACGAGGACGTGGACGCGGAGGACTTCACATGGCTGAAGCAACTCCCACAGGACAACCCGGCGCGGATGTCTGTGACGGAGATGGAGATGCGGCATGCTGTGTTCACTGCAGCGCGTCGCACAGGGGAGTCCGTGCCACGTACCATGGTTTTTTTCGTGCGTGATCACTCCGCGTTGATGTCGTCGTTGGCAGTGGAAGATCGAGAGGCGTACGCCCCCGACACACCGACGACGATGCAGTCCCTCTCAAAGCTTTCAGGTTACTTGGAGGCTCAAGGAGTGCCTATGTTTTCCTACACGGCAACCGGCATAAGGTCAGGGTCCGATGCCTTGTCTGCCATCTCGATGCTTTCAATCAAAAAATCAGCGTTACATGTGCCGCTTGACGTTACGAACTTCTCCCGCAAGGCGTTTGTTGCACTGAAGTCTATTATTCTTCAGCGTTGCGGGCTCCCCGACGACGCTGGGGAGTCGCTGCAAAGCCAGAGGGATCACGCTAATCCAAAACAGCAGCTGAAACCGCAGCCGAAACATCAGGGTGACGACATTTTGAAGCAAGCAAGCACGGGCGGGGCGCTCTACGCGGAGGAGTACATGGACCAGGTTAGTTTTACGACGAACTTGCTAAAGACCTTTGTGCCTCCGCTGGGTCTCCTGGAGAAGTTGTCCTTCTTTGCTCTTACAGGTCATCTCCCGACAGACACCAGCTCTTCTACAGCCGGGGGAGTGGCTGCCGAAAGCAGCATTGCAAATGTCACACTTTCTCATGACAGCCGGGACCAGAACAAAGCCTCCAATGTTCTTCTCTTACAGGGCTCCGATGGAAATGGATTATCTAGCGTCGCCGCAGCCGTTGCAGCTCACATCGCTTACTTAGAGGAGTCCAACCTTGCGGTTCTGCATTTCGCCTGTCAAGCCAGTGACGGAAGCCTGCGGCGTTTGGTGTACTACCTTGCCTTTTCGCTGGTGCACCGCCTGCGACTGCAGGAGGACTTCTGTGTGCGAGAGAGCGATTCTGTCACGACGCTGCTTCCCCTCCTGCCGGGTGTATATGCGGCCGCGATGAAGAAGAAACACTTATGCATTATCCTTGATGGCCTGGACAAGTCCTCCTTTGCTCCGGAGATACTACGTAATCTTGGCTGGATCGTGCCTAGAAGCACCGGGCCAGAGATTCGCTTTCTAATCACGACCACGCTGAGTAGTTCATTCGCCACCGCCCTGAAGTCGCGTGTGCAGCCGGTGGTAAGCCTTATGTTGCCAGACTTGAGCCTGTCTGAACGCGCTGAACTCGTCCGACGACACTTGGCCTCCTATGGCAAGCGGCTACAGGAGTCTTTTTGCGTGAATGAGCTTAAGCTGCTGCTGCGAAAGACGGACGCCAATCAGGCCTCCTACCTCACTTACGCTATCACGTACCTCCGCCTGTTCAGCTTCTTTGACACTCTGCGGGCTGATATTGCAAGTTTGCCCTCCACGCTTCCACAACTGCATGCCGAAACGTATAAAAAGTTGGAGGAACAGTTTGGCGTGGAAACCTGTCGCGCGGTTCTTGTTTCACTCTACCTGTCGCAGAGTCTCTCAGGTCTTAAGGAGTACAACCTTCACCGTCTTGTCTCCAACGTCGCCAGCGCCTCTCGCCTTGTCGCGCTGCTGGTGGGGACGTGTCTGCGGGTGACACGCAAGCGCGTGCTGATAGCGAATGCATCATTTGAAGCCTCCATCGCGGCGCGCTACCTCCCCCACTCCTCCGACGTCGTGGATGCCTGCACCAACAGGCTGGTGGCGGAGTTGTACTTCCGTCCGCTTGCCACAAGTGTGTCTCGTTATGAGACTCGCGAGAGCATTCGCCTTGCTGTGGATTCCATCAAGCACAGTCCACGGGAGAAGTGTGTGTTTAGCCCCCATCGCTACACAACCTCGCAGCTGCTTGCTCTGCTTCACTTTGCGCTGCTGGCGAAGGAGTACGATGCATTGGCAACACTCGCCGCGTATGTGCCGTTTATTGAGTACCTCCTCGTGAATGCGACGTACCTTCAACGGTTTATGAATCTGCTTTCGCAGGCCACAATGGCAAACTCGATGCTGTCGCGCCGACTTTATCCTATTATAGAGTTTCTGCAGAGCGAGTACCACATCCTGGTGGATCGTCCCAGCCTTTTGCGACAGTGCATACGGAATTTGCCTAGCTGCAGTGCAATTTTTCACGGGTTGGACCACAACCACGGCGACCGTGGCGGTGACGGGGAGGTGGATGACATGGATAGCAACATCATTCGTGGAAAGCGGAATCCCATGACGTGGGTCAGGTGGATGAACCCGAGCCAACACGGAGAGGAGGGACGCATCATCAAGTTTCCCTCGACAGAGCCACTGCACTGCCTTGTCCTGAGTGATGACGGGAAGTTTATGGCTGCCGGCGGGGAGGACATGATGGTGCGAGTGATGCCGCAGGGTGCACTGGAACAGATAACGGCGTCACTAAAGCACACGGCTCCCGTCACTGCCATTGCGTTCCTGCCAAACCATTCGCATATTCTGCTTACTGGATGTGGGCGCGGTGTTCTACGGGTGTGGAGTCTTGAAGATAATAGTCTGCTTCAGCAGAGTCAGGCGGGGCACACGCGATGCATTTCGTCCCTCGCCTGTCATCCTACGAGAAGTGTTGTGTGCTCTGGCAGTCATGATGGACTGTGTGCGATATGGAATGTTGTGAGCAGCGTGGCGGAGTCTGTGGCACGTTCAAGTGTGCAGCCGTCGCAAATTCTGAAGCACCACACGGCGCCTGTTTCGTGCGTGGCGTACCACAGCTCAGGTGAGATACTGGCAACGGGATCTTGGGAAGGGTGTGCGTACTTTATTAACATGGAACGTCCCATGGACGATACAAGCAGGTCAGCGGCACCACTGGAGTATGTACATCAGTTCCTGGATGCACAGAGCCCTGTGCGGGGGCTTGCGTTTCTGCCTTCGATGGTGGTCACGTGTGCTGTGGCGCTTTACAGTGGGGACATATGTCTTTACGACTACGCCTCCGCATCCTGTAGTGCGCGGCTAACGCTGCACGCTGGCATACCTATCACCTCTCTTGCCTTCTCGCCTGACGCAGCCTTGATGGCATCGGCAAACGAGAATGGGAATGTGCACGTCGCCTACGCCGGTGTGACAGGGACAGTCATGTCGACGCTCAACGGTCATCGTCAGGCTGTGACCAGTGTTGTCTTTCACCAGCAGAATCCGTCCATCCTGTTCACCTCCTCAGTTGATAACAGTCTCAAGGAGTGGTACATTGGCCAGAGTAGCGAGCGCCGCCACACGGGACTGCGTGGAACACACACCATGAGTGTGACTGCGTGTGCGGCAGCCTCTGATGGGTCGTTCTTTGTTACGGGCGGCATGGACGGCACTGCGTTTGTCTTTGCAAGTCACCAGGTTGTTGGCGGAGACGCATTTGAAAACCCCGGTATCAAGGATGACTTTTTTGTCCCCCACTTTATCCTCTCGCACGAGCATAACCGTGTCTCGTGCATCCGCGTGGTGATGCAAAACAGCCGCATCCTCTGCGGGACGGCGGCAGGGGAAGTGTTTGTTTGGGCTGCCTCACCTGGGCTTAACCTCCGCGAGGGACGCCTGCTGCAACGCATTCGCGTGGTAGGCAAGGGCACGTACCCCGTTATTTTTATTGCGTGCGAGGAGGAGCACGTGGCGGACGTGAGTAAGGGGTGCCCGGTGGACGCGTTGGATGTCTCAAAGCCGCACGGCCCCCTCCGCGGGCGGGCCACGGCGTTGACGACGGATGGAGCGATAGCAGCATGGGAGATGTGCGACGACGACGGGCTCATGCTCGCTTTGGAAGGTAAACCGTTGCATGAGGCGTTGCACAGTGACGGCGGTGTGATGAGTAATAATGCATACGCCGTTGGTTCGCAACCGATGCCTGCACCTTCGGAACATATATTTGACGTTGACCCAGCGGTCCGTCGAGACGGAAATCATGTTGAGACGACAATTTATACCTTCAGTGGCCATGCTGATAGTGGTACTCAACAGTATTTTTCATCGAGTCAGGAATCATTTTACAGTGAACTTTCGGAGCGCGCGCCGCAGAGAAGGGAGTCAAGTGGTGACAGCAACGTAGTGGGTGGGACGCTGAAAGGGGCCCCACAACGTGCAGTTCTACGGTGGGTGACTCAAGCGGAATGTCTGTGGGGGGACGAAGAAGAGCAGCAGGTGGTCTCATGCGAACCTTCGCCTTCGAATGGAAGTGCACTTGCGACGGTGCCGAGCGATGCGGAAGAAATTGTGGCCGCCGTCTCATTTATCAACCGTAGACAAAGCAATCAGTCGGGACTGAATTCTTCAAGTAAGTCAACGGGAACGGAAGCTGCTGCCGCAGATGCACGTCATCACACGGGGCTGCTCTGCGGGCACTACATCGTTGTGGGTCGCCTCCGCTGTCATTTGGCTTTGGCCACCCTTCAGCGGGTGATAACTTTGCCCATGCATAATCCGCTCCAGCTGCAGTTTGAGCCTCTTGACAGTAACTCGCACTGCAATAGCAACATCAGCAGCATTAACGCTTACACTTTGAAAAATGGGGATTTTTTCCTTAGTGCCAGCAATTGCATTTGTGTGAATTCCGCTTGGACTACGGAGGACGAGGGCTTCGTCGCCGTGCTCTTTGCCCTAGGCACAAACTCTGGTACGGTACTGCTCCTTGAGGCCACGTATGACGCGGAGGACGTGGACGCCCTCTCTTCGGTGGACGATGAGTCGCTGGTACAGTTGATGCTAAAGGAGCAGCGACGTACGTGTCTTACGCTACGACACGCCACCGACATCGTCGACAACCAGGGCAAGCCTGTCGCCGTGGACTCCATCGCCCTGGCACCGCAAAATAGGGCCACACTGGAGCACGTCGTGTGGCGGGATGTACTGACCGCGCTGCAGGTGGTGGTGGGCGGTAGAGATGGTTCCACACGTCTCTTTACGGTGTTCCCATTCCGCTATATGGGAGAGGCGGCTCCCGCGAGCAGCATCACACCCAACGGAGAGTTGGACTCGAAGGAAGAAGGAAAAACGGAGGGTAAAGGGGAGGAGGAGGAAGAAGATGGTGAAACAGGGAGCGAGGCGGCGGGTTTTCTCTGCAAAGATCTTTGGAATGAGCAGGGTATATTCTTTGCATCCTCCGGCGTTACAACCGTCACAGTGATGCGGATGTCAGAGAAAGATCCCTCAATGGGTGCCTGCGTGAATGCGGCGGTTGGAAACGATGATTGTCTGCTGCCCATTTGCACCTCAAAAGCCGCGGCAGCAGCTGCGCCTCCGACTCGGCAAGTCATGTATATCGCTGGTGACTGGCTTGGCAATGTATACCAGCTGCAACTCGAGTGGGAAGGCGAGATGAAGCAAAGAAAAGGCAGCATCAAGCCGCTTACGTCCTCAGGCTGGACGGCTGAAGCCAATTTGCTGGATGCTCTCCACTGGTCAGCTGCCATGGGTGGGGCGGGGCGAGAGGCGAGGGACATGCAGGCTGAAACCCTCTTTTCCCAGCCACCTGAGCGCACCGATGAGGCTGCTTTGGCGAGGCAAGTGCGTCAAACGACGGATTGGCGTTGTGAGAAGCGTCACATTACGTCGATGTTTCTGCCGCGGGCGGCAAATCCAGCGGCGGCGTTAGCCAACGATGAGGCTGTCAAGGCCTGCGCAGGAACGTCTGAGTCCACACTTCCACAATTGCCTTTGGGTTTGTCTGCGGCTGCGGCAACCACGGCTGCAGGGGGTGTGCCACCGTATGAGCTGATCCTTCAAAAGATGCCAGCCGGTTTGGATCCGTCGCAGCGGAGTGAGTGGCTGCAACGGCGTCAACGTCTTCTTGTGGAGGCACTGCAGGCACAAAGAAACGCCGTGAAGGCACGTGCAGTGCTTGCAGAGTATTCAAGGGATGTATTGCTGTCATTAGGGGTGTCTCTCTCGATGTGAGGTTTGACGTAGGAATCATAATAATGATGTGTATATATATATATACATTTGGTGCTGAGTGTTGTTCGTTTTTGTTGTTTTTTTTTGTGCCGGTTTGCTTATGTGGGGTTTCTGCTGTCGTCTTTGAGTTTGTTGTTGTATTTGCGCTTGTCTTTTTCTGTATGTCTTTGTTTGCTTGTTTTGCTTCGTCTTTGCATGCTCCTTCTCTCTTTTTCTCTCTTGTTTTCTCTCTGCTTTTGCCGCGCGTGGCCCCTTGGCCTCTCTGTCGACGGAGAGGCGAGCCGGATTGTGGGCGGTAGGGAATCTTCCTGGCGCGGCGGGTGGTGGCGTGGTTGGCACGCACCCAACACATACGGACCGGCTGACGTGCCGGAGTTATTAGGCGAAGCAGAAGCAAATTGTATAAATTCAAAGAAAACAAAAGGAAAAAAAACAAAAGAAACGAGAGCGAAATGTTACACACAGGGAGTCGAACGAATGTCTACGACGAAAAGGGAACTGTGCTATACCGTGCCGTGCCGGAAAGCTCGCCCGCGGTGAGTGGCAAAGTCGAGGATGTGAGCGAGAAGGACATCGACGCGGTGACTGACTTCTCCACGAGCGTCCCGCCCAGCATCTCCGTCATGAACATCATCGCATCCCAGTCGATGCGCTCAAGGACGCTAATGAGGAGTAAGACCTTGCAGGGCTCCTACCCACGTGTTGCGAATGCTTCGGCGGCCGCAACGAAGAAGGAGGCTCTAAAGCTAATTCAGAACAGTCTGACTCCGGAGCAGGCTCTTCTGACGCTGTTTCCGCCCGAGCCGCTGTACGAAAACAAAGACGGCGGCAAGAAGGAAAAAAAGGATGTAATCTTCGCTGATTTGGCGGCCTCCACCGTCTGCACCCTACGAGAGCCCAACGAGCAGCGGTGGATGAAGGTAGCGGCGATTGATCACACAAGCCGACTTGATTGCGTGCATCTGCAGGACCATTTGGAGCGCCGGTGCATCGAGGAGAACGCGCGTTCCTCTGGAGTTGTCTGCCCAATCCGCGAGGGGATCTACACCGACGGTCTTAAGGAGCTGATACGACAGACGACGGTGTTGTGCCCGGAGCGCGGACTACTGCTTGCCGAGCTTGCGACGGAGATGCAGCAGACGACAAACAAATACGATATTCTCTTTGACAGCGCCTGTCAGTACGCAGTACGCAAGGCGATTGAGCGCGACATGCGGAGTTACCTCTTTGAAGACAAGGTAAATATGGAGAGTGAGGTGCGCCGGCTGGAGAATCGCGTGAATGAACTTCGGGCAAAGCGTGACGGCATGCTGAAGCGCTTCGAGGAGCTGAAGCAGGCGGAGCAGAATAGACACGATGAGGAAGTAAAGTACCTCAAGAAGGTCAATCAGCAGATCATCAGCGAGATCAAACGGATCACGGCCCTAGAAAAGGCGAAGGCCACAGCAGCAGCGGAACAGGCACATACACAAAACACTGTGTAGTTTCGTTTTTTCCTCGTTTCCTTTTTTTTTTTTGATTTGTATTGTGGTTGTGTTCTTGCTGCGGCGAGTAAAGAGGAGACGGCTGGCGACGGAAAGTGCATCAAGGGGAGACGACGGGGCGAAGGTTGGCGGGAAGGTGGTGTCGCTACTGTAATGGGGTGACGACAAGAAGAGCAAGAAGTCAAAACAACGGAGAGTGAAGGGGGAAGTTGTGAATTCAGTTTGCCGCTGAAGACGCTATGTACACAAAGGCACACATACGTACTGGCACAGCCGTATACACGCATGGTTATTGATGTGGGTGTGCATGTGTGACTCCGTAATGTATGCACCGTACCGTATGTTTCTCTACGCATTTACATTTCGGGTGGTCACTTTTTTTTCTATTTTTCTATTTTTTTTTTTTTTTTTTTGGTAGGTGTGTGCATGACTTGGATTGCAATTGACCGAAGCTCAAAGGGAAGTTTATTCTCTGTTTCCCACCCCATGCAACGCGCAGGTCGTCCAGCTGGCCCGGCGCTGCAGCCTAGACTCCGGACGAGTAGAGCAACGGGGGATGAGGACAAGCCGTCACAGAAAGGAGGGAGGAGAGTCACCAGAGGACAAGGGAAGATGAATGGCAGCAGCAGGAACGTAAGTGCGGGAGGACGGTCTCATCGGCGAGGCAACAGCAAGGGAGCAAATAGCACCCGAGAGAAGGAAGGGGCCACAAGCGACTCCAGCCTGGCAACGCAGCAAGAAGAAGAGCAGGTGCACCGCTATCTGGACAGTGCGTGGGAAAAGTTTGGGGAGGCGCGTGTGTTGTTGCGACAGAACTGTTTCCTAGAAGCATGGAAGATACTCATGGAGGCGAAGGATTTCATTGACGCCGCGGCGTGCCACTACTGCTGTGGATTAGACCGACAGAATCGGGCACTGGTGCAGCTGGGACATGAGTTGAACGCGGCAACGCAGAGTTGGCTGCGATGGGAGCGCCTGGCGGGGCACCCGGGGTTGTCCGACTCTTTGCTGCCAAGCGGCAAGGCGTCAACGGTCATGTTGCAGACGCAGAAGCAGGCAGAACAGCAACAGGAGCGGCAGTCACAGTGCTTGCCGCAAGAGCGTCGTGAGGGAGAAACAAATATTGACATGGCTGAAGACTCAGATGAAAAACTGGAAGGGCGTGAGGGGTCAAACGGACATGAATCCCCCAACGCCTCTCCACGCGCCGTGGAGACGATACTCACGATGGATAGGAAAGGCAGTGAAAAAAAAAAATGTACAGGAAGGGGAATGGAATGGCGAGGATGTTGTGCAGGACTGCCATCTGAGACCGGTTGCCATGTTTCATTGTAGGCCGCCTGGGCCGCAGGAGATGTGGAACCCGCAGGGAGACCGTAACTGGCCCCAGGGACAGTGTTTCTCCTACTCCCGTGAGGCGGCAAGTGGCAGGCCAGAAAAGCGGTTCAGTGACGGTATCACATTTGGTAAGAAGCGTCAGACAGAAGGAATGGCGTCGCGGTCGTTCTCTTCTGCGTCTCTTTTTACCCCTGCGACACCCGTGGAGGAGGAGGCGGGCCAGGTGCAACAGAAACGACAGGCGATAGCAAAGGAGGGGGAAGAGCCAGCGGGGGAGAATAGAAACGTGAAGGGTCAGACGCAAACGATGCCGGTGCAGCCGCAACACTGCGAAGGTGCCAGGCAGCAGTTGGAAGGAGTAGTAAGGCAAGCTGGCGTCACCGCACGTGAGTCGTCGCAGGAGAGGTCTGCACCGGTGGGGACAGCCGCCTTTTCCCCAACAGAGGAAGCGCCGCGGCAGGCGACGGGGGAGCGAAGAGGAGAAGGGGGAGCGGAGGACGCGAGGCGGGGCGAGCAACGAGAGGAGGCAAGGAAAAACAATGAACCGCGGTGTTTTCCATCATCCAAACCAGCTGCGCCGCCACCGTTTAAAACGACGGTCATACCGGCGGAAAGCGCGGACGGTGTATCTAACACGCCCGCCGCAACCGTAAAGGGCGCCTCCCCGCTTTGCTCCGTCCCTGACTTGGGGGAGCCGAAACTCGTGCCTCTCTACGCCTTTGAGATGGAGAAGCCACGATTAACTTTTGGGGGCAGCTTCGGCTTCAGGTCCTGTATTTTACGCAGACCCTTCTCGGCCGCAGTGCGAACTCGCGCTTCTGCACCAAAACCGCCGACAGTACCGACGCGTGCGACGAGTGCCAGTTATAAAAAGTTGATGCCGCCTGCGACGAGTTTGTCCTCTGAGGTTCCCGTGCCAGTTGTTTCCCATAAGGTTGCTGTTGAGGCCAGACACTCCACTGAAATCCATACACGAACAGACGGTAGTGATGTAGCTTCTGGTGGTGATCGCCGTCGTTCATTGCCGTATTTGAGTGTCTATCATGTATGGCAGGGGGGGGGCAACGGCCAAGGACAGAGCCCTGTTCAGTCACGCGCTTCCACCGTGCCGGAGGAGGCGACGATGCAGAGTCCACTGTGTCAGCAGGGAGGTCCGCAGGAGGCCGCAACTTCAGCTTACAAATCTTCACAGCCGTCTGCAGCGGGAGACCATGGCACTCCCAGTACGCGAACGTCGGAGAGAGGTAACGGCGGCATTCACCACGGCAGTCGCCACGCCACGGGGAGCGAGGAACAGTGTGTTACCCTTTCATGGAAGCGTAAGGGACTGGTATCCAAAGCGGCGTCCCTCCGGGGTTGCTTTGATGGGGTGAAGAGCTACCAAGAGGCCCGTGAGCTACATCAGCGAATAGTGCAAGAACTCCTTGAGCGTGAGCAGGAAGAGGAAAAGGAAAACGAGGACAACGCCGACAAAGGGGAAGACATGGCCGAGCAAAAGCTTCAGGAGTGTGTGGCGCATGTGCTTGGGCGCCTTGAAGAGGCCTACTACGACTGGCTGGTCGAGCACCTTTGCATCAAGAGGCGTCATGGGCAGTGTGAGGACGTCGCCCTCACGACAACTGACAACGATACGGGGGCGGAAAACGCAGGGAGGGAGGCTGAAGAGGGGCAGGCACAAAACCAAACAAGCAGCGCTGTAGCAGCATGTTCGACCACGCCGGTGTCAGAGCCGCTGCTGGCGGTGGAGTTAACGGAAAAGCTTGAGACGGCACCGAAATTTGGCAGCGTCGACACACCACCCACCGCCATCGCGCAGAGTGACGAAAGCGGGTGTGGGGAACAAGCAGAGGAGGCAACAGTATGCAGGGTCAACCCGGGTGAAGCAAACTGTGCTGGGAACGCCTCTAAGGACGACAGTCTCACCGCGCCTGTGGAAGCTGCGGATGATGCGGCGGTCCTGTCCACAACACCCGTCATCGCGGCTGCTGACAGCGTTGCGTGTGAGCAGCTGCATGACATGCGGGAGGGCAAGGCGGCCTCTAAACAGGTGGAGGAATTGGCGCCGCAAGTGCCGCACGGAGGCCCTCAAGCGGAACCTATCAAGACGAATGCCGACAACGTTGTCCCTGACACGAAGCCAACGTCATCGCGCCGAGTAGGCCGCACACTCGTGTTTTTCCGCGAGCGGCACTAATAACTGTGACAAGTTTCGTGTTTGGTTGTTGTTGTTATTATTATTTACTTGCTTTTTTATCCGTCTCGATGTAAATGAATGGGTGAGTGCATGGGCGGTGAATCCGGCTGGTTGGGGGTCATGTGTTTCTGCCACGACTGTGTGGGGTGCAACGGCAATCGCGGTGTGAGAGTTGGAGGGGATAAAGAGAGAGCACAAGAAATTATTATATTATCTGGGCGTACTTAGCCGTCATCACTCCGCCGCACCTGGGCGGTACTTCCCACTTGTTGTGAGTTGTCTCCGCCGCGGTTATTGCACTTCTTTACAGTCGCCGATGCAGCAACGATTGAAGATGCGTGAATAATTTCATGTGCGCCCTCCCACCTCGCCACAGAAAAATGTGTGTGTGTGTGTGTGTGTGTGTGTGTGTGTGTGTGTGTGTGTGTGTGTGTGTGTGTGTGTGTGTGTGTGTGCG